GGCAGATATCAGTCTACGCAGTATGGTTGATCTTGTTCCAAGAAACTGCCTGTGACCTCTGAAATACCTCAAGACAGTGTTCTAGGTCCTTTAATATTCAACCTTTTCGTAAAAGAATTACCTTTTTCATTGAAGTCAACTTGTGTTCTCTTTGCAGACGATGCTTTAATCTATCGACCTATTTACAGTTGTAGTGATGTTTCAACATTACAAGAAGACCTTAACCTTCTCGGTCAATGGTCCTGTACAAATCGCATGATATTCAACACATCTAAAACTAAAGTAATGCATATCACTAGAAAAAAAGATCCAATAAATCGTACTTACAAACTAAATGGCCTACCAATCACTACAACAAATGCCCACAAATATCTTGGTCTCACAATAGACAGCACACTGTCATGGACAGATCATGTAAACACCACTGTCTCCAAGTGCAATCAAATCATACGTCTCATCCTAAGTGTTGCTAATGGCACTAACCAGCAAGTTCTGACCAATTTGTAAAACTCATTGGTTTTAGCAATAATTGAGTATGGACTACCTGCATGGTTTCCACATTCAAAGAAAGACATGGAACGAATTGAACGTATACAGCGGTTCGCTTCTAGAGGTATACTAAAGGATAAGCGAGAAGACACTCCATATCAAGCCCGTTTAGACACTCTCCATCTTCTTCCTCTCTGCTTCCGACGTGAATTTAATCTCATATCTTTCGTAATCAAATGCTTATTTGGAAAAATTGACTGTCACTCCATCTCAGATAATATCCATGTAAACTCCAGAAACAGAGATAATGTAACCTTTGTACATCAATTTTCTAGGACCATTGCTTATAGAAATTCACCTGTAAATCTATTTCCTCGTGTGTGGACCAAACTCCCTGCTGATGTGAGGAACTCAATAGTACTAAAATCTCTTACCAACTCTCTCATGGACATTCATAACTATTTTTCTGACAAACATTTCTAAATTCTTCTTTTTACTGACTTTATATATTTATTAATTATTGTATCTACACTGTTGAAATTTATTTAATTAGTATACCATTAAGTTTATATGAACCTATTTTTTTTCCTTCATAAATACTAAACTTATCTGTAATAAGATAATTTCGGTAATGTTCTCCTTATATAAATATATCAGTTATTACATACTAAGTAAGAGCAATTTTGATTTTTTTTTTAAATTATGATAGGCCTATTTCTGCTATTTATTGTATTGTATTTAAATGCCTTTTATGTTTATATTTATTAATGGGGCAGCTGACTCTCAATGAGTTATAGTAAAATTTTGCTTAAGCTGCCCCTGACTATAATTTTTGTTGTAATGCACCTTTTGTAAATGTGTATTGGCCGAATAAATAAATGAAATGAAATGAAATGTAGCAGCATAAAGAGAGGTTATACAAAAGTGTAAAATATTAATATAAATTTGGACGAACTTATCTTTCTAGTTACATCTGAGTTTTGTAATTAAAATGCGATATGTAGCGATACATAAATCGCTCTTTAGTCTTCCCTGTTACATTTTACATTAATATCCTATATATAGTGTTTTTATATGAATGAAAGGGAATAAAAGGCAAAACTAGTTAAATACATTTGTTAAGTAAATCTCTAAATATTGTTAAAATGTGTTGCTTTAAGCCAATTACTCGTAAACAATTAAGCACAATATTATAAGTGGCCTCAATTTATTTTACATTCAGCAATAATTTATACTAAGAGACTTATTTTTGGCCAGAACATGAAGACGATATAGGCCCTATTTTGTGAAAATTGGGCTTTTCTAAAACAATCGTTTGTGGTATAATCTAACTAAAAATAAATTAATGTTTCACTGGTATTTATTCATTTTGGGACTTTTTTTATTATTACTTCAGAATGTTTTTATATGTCATTAAAAAGGGTAATAATGACGACAATGATAATTTAAAATTGCAATCTTTCAATATTTAAATAGTGTATTTGCTCTGGGGCGGATGAATGATTTGGCGGTAGGGGTGCGTGAGGGTCACCTCACTGCCCCCACCATGGTTGGGGCTGAGGGAATAGAGAATTTTGAGAATAGGGACCTCTCTCAGGCGCGGATCCAGTGTTTTAGCTGGGTTTCCATATCGGCGAAAGTAGTTGTGGTTCACAGACGAATCTGGGTGCCTTTCCAATAGCGCAAGGCAGCTAGCAATGCACCCTGATTCATCTGCGTCTGCAACGGAATCGAAAAGTTCAACCAGGTTCAACCTTCAGTTTTTTTTTATCTAAAAAATACGTTATACGCATGCTCGAAAGCGGAAAGTTTGACCTAAAAGTTTGATATTATCTTTCATGTTGTTTGTTGAATAGTCCTTAAAGATATATTCTATTATGACCACAACATAAGGAAGAATACCTACAAAGGTTATTCAGACCCATACATTTATATTTCTTTAGGCCTGAATCATAAGGAAGTCCGCTTGGTTGGGTGCGTTATACACACTCTTCGTAACACCCCACCTTCTGGATATACGCGCCTGGAAAATTTACATTTTACATGCCAATTAATACGCTTATTAGGTATGTTTTCAATTTCTCAATATTGTTTTTATTTTAATTATTTTTCCACTTCAAAGGCTTTATGATTTGAAATTTACATACCATTCACGTCGTTACTCTTCTTTAGATTCTGTGTTCATTTTTAGTCTCTCAGTGCTCGGTGGTCATTTTTTACTTTCTTTTTAGATGTACTGTATTTAAGTGTGTTCGTAATTTTTAGCTCTAGGTCTACAATAGGCTACCAACCCATTAAAGACATAAAATAATATATGCCTTTCAATAAAGTTATAAGAATCAAAGCACATGTATAACTTATCATCCCTTGACATTAATAATAATAATAATAATAATAATAATAATAATAATAATAATAATAATAATAATAATAATAATAATAATAATAATAATGATAATAATAAAAGAACTCAATACGGTAGTGTACCGTACGTTATCGTGCAGCCGATTTAATTACAGTCCCTCTTTGATTAATACTAAAGGCCAACTCAGACAGCGTCGTACGACGCAGCCCGACGCGATTTGTTGTCGCGTCGGGTCTGTGTGAGTTAAACGCAGACGCGATGGTGTGCGTCGGGGACAGTCGCGTCGTAGAATATTAAACGTGTTTAATATTTCTCACGATGGCTTAAGAATGTCCCCGACGATAAATCGGGTCGGGCTGCGTCGGCCGACGCTGTCTGAGTTGGCCTTTAGACAATGCAAAAAAGGCCACCGATTCCATTGTTTTTTGTTTGTTTTTTTCATTCTCAGGATTTCATTTTATTTCATTCATTTATTAGACCAACATTTACAAATACTGTGACAATAAAATACAACATCTGAGAAAAACGAAAAAAATTCTTTTTACAAATGTAAATCACCAAAATAAACATAATGAAAACTTTAGCCCGATTTCGGACAAAAGCTCCTTCTGTGGAGAATCTACGTACAGTTTACCTACTTCGTATGCATGAACGCACATCTCCACCGAACAGGATTTGGCACAGTTCATTATATATATAAGGGAAATACACTCTAATTTTACACTCTGTAGACACGGAGAGACAAGGTAAGTTTGTTTATTCATGTCAAGTTTATTTCAGAATATACTGCCTCTATATACTGCCTCAATGGATTTATTGAACATGATATTTTTGCTTTTACATGGAAACATCTTGGATACATAAAATATTTGGATACATAAAATATTAGGATACATAAAATACTGTATTAGGATACATAAAATAATATAAAAAAAATCATGCAAAGATAAAATAGTAAAATTATAGAAATTTAGCACCTATTCAATATTTAATCACATACTGTATAATGTAACATAGGGGACTGGGACTTTTAACATCTGGATACAGTAAGACAATATATTATTAAATACTGCCTTTCACAGTAACAAAAGTGATTTGAAAGCATCCAGGGCAATTTATTTCTAATGCACCAAGGTTAACAATACATGACACTGTGTCTACAAATAATATTCCACTCATTCGTCTTGTTCTGTATACATACTAACAAATAGTATTGAAATAGTTATTTAATAAAATAAAATATTATATATATAAATAGGCCTATATATATATATATATATATGATTATTAATTAACGTAATGTACTAAAAGTGTACAGATTCTTTACTTAAGTTAAGGCTGTAGGCACAAGTAAATCCAAGTGACGCCGTTCTGAGCCCAGTAAACATGGTAGGCTTTGCACTTAACTGCTTCTTTTGTCGTCTGTAGTCCTTCTTTTCTTCAATAATTTTTGTTCATTTTACTTTGGATAAGTAGTAAATTACAATGTTCAACTTTTGGAGTACAAAACTTGTATATTTATAATCAATAAGATGGTTTTATGAGCCCACAGATGTTTCTAGCTTGCAAATATTCGTAGCGGGAAGCATGTCAGGTGACCCGGCAGATTGCCAAATGACGGTAAAAGTACTATGAACGAAATAATTGAAAGAAAAAATGATCAATCGTTTGTTGGCCAATTAACATAAAATTGATATGACAAGAAAGTAAATTATATCAGCTACAATTGACCGTTCACCCCAGGGTTAACAGACGTATGCTTCCCGAGTTATTCATAAGGGAAGTAAATCGTATACTGAAAAACAAGCTAAAATTTTCCTTTTTCCTATACAAAACCATTAGGAGTTGTTAACTTTGAAAGAAAATTGATCACTCAATTTTTTACATATGGTAAACAGATATATATATAATTCCAAATCTTATAATTTCTAGTTTTATAATCCGATCGCCCCGGATTCCTCAAATAATTCAATCAAAAAATATAGACGATTTTGAAAGAAATTTTCGGCCAGTCCTCTGGCCTTCATAAGCTGTACTGAAAGTAAATGTACATTCAGTAAACACTGTAGATAGACTTTGGACACCGGCTAATAACAGAAACGTACACATAGACAGCTTTGTTAACGCTGCCAAGGCACATTTGAATATGTTCATTCAAGAAAACGACGGCAAACGTGAAGACCGCGACAATTTAACGAAGGGCGAACGCTACTCTATCAAACAGTTAAAACGCAACAACGATATCACAATAAAACCAGCAGATAAGGGTGGTTCTATTACCATTATGGACACTAATGATTACATCTCTGAAGCCGAATCTCAACTATCTAACGAACAATTTTATAAATCACTACCCAAGGATTTCACTAAATCCTTCAAGAGAGAAGTCAATCATTTGTTAGCCGGATTAGGAGACGACATCAAGAAGGCTACACAAAATTTAATCCCGAATGAACCCAAACCGGGCACTTTTTATTGTCTACCTAACTTGCACAAACTACCCAAGCTTACCTCTGAGGCTACCAAGACAAACCCTGAGCCGATAGGATTAGACACTCTTTCAACCCCGACGAAAATCTACGACCTTGCTAAATCACTACATATTACTCCACCAGGTAGACCGATCATTTCAGGAAGAGGGACACTCACTGAACATCTATCAGGTTATATCGACTCTATCTTGAACCCGCTTCTTATTAACATTCCGAGCTTCACGCAAGATTCCACCCATTTCCTCAGGAAACTCAGTAATGTACAACAACTCAATTCTGACGCGCTACTAGTGACTTTGGACGTTACATCACTATACTCAAACATCCCTCATGAAGAAGGTGTAGCTGCATGTACGAAGTTCCTTAATCGGTTTTATTCTTATGAGACAACTTCAGATATTTGCTCAATCATCGAATTTATCTTGAAACATAACAATTTTATGTTCAATGAAAAACATTTCCTACAAACCAAAGGAACGGCAATGGGAACAAGAATGGCGCCAAGCTACGCCAATATTTTTATGGCAGACCTCGAAGATCGTATATTATCCAACTACCACCTCAAACCGACATTCTACACCCGATACATCGATGATATTTTTCTCATATGGGAACATGGTCTAGATTCTCTGAAACAGTTTGAAACGTATATCAATAATATTCACCCCAGCATAAAGTTCACACTAGCGATGTCTCGCACTGAGATACTATTTCTCGACATCACAACGATGCTCCATAACGGCGATCTATCCACGACTATCTACTCTAAACCAACGGATAATCACAAATACTTAGACTATTTCAGTTTTCATCCTATGAACTTAAAACGATCCATTGTTTACAGTCAAGTTCTCCGTCTCAAAAGAATTTGCTCAGAGCCCACTGATTATGCAAAGCAAAGTATCGTCTCTCGCATCACAGTTCATAAAATGTAGATACCCTCTTTCCGTCATTAAATCTGCCATAACTAAAGCATCGCACCGACCAAGAACCGACCTTCTTAAATACAATGCCAAATCACACTCAGATCGCATACCGCTCATATTAGACTATAGCCCTCGTACAAGACCACTCACGAATGCGATTAAGACGGACTTTGAAACATTGAAAGAAAAAGACCCATCCATAAAGGCTGCTTTTCAAAACCCACCTATAATCGCACGTAGACAGCCACCCAACCTCAAGTCGCTTTTAACGTCTACTCAACTACCTACTACCGATAACACACCGAAGAAGGGGAACATGCCTTGTGGTAAAGCAAGATGCCAACTATGCAATATTATCAACACTAAGCAAACATTCAAAGTACCTGGCACCAACTTCATTATCCACCCACTCAATGAGGACTGTTGTGCACATAATGTATTATACCTAATTTATTGCACCAAATGCAATAACGGTAATTATGTGGGAGAAACCGGTGCTACATTCAGATCCAGGTTTAATAACCATAAAACTACTATTAGAAATAAGGACTCTAATCACACTGTATCTTTGCATTTCAATTCTCTTGACCATGATATTAACGATATGCGCTTCCTTATAATACGCTCCAATTTCAAATCCACTAAGGACAGACGGTGCGAGAAAACCAAATGGATTTATCGCTTAAAAACCCATATTAACGGCCTTAACAAAGATAGGGGCATTGTTCACGACTATGCTTTTGCGAATAGTTCAACTTAATTGAACGCTTTTAGTTATAACTTTGTTAGTTTCCATACTCGTAATGTTATGTTGCCCCTCGTGGGGGATTACTATGATTCTATATATATTTTTTATACATAGTTTATATTTACATGCCTCTACTTGATTTATCTTT